CAACTTTTAATCAATTTTCCAAAATAACTCAAAATATTTTTAAAGGGTCTGGGACCTTGGGTCCTTAGAGAAAAATGCCTATTTTGACAAATTAGTTAAAAGTCAATTTTTTGATTTTTTTGGGGTCACATTACCTTTCTATTTTTTTCAAAAAAAAGTATTTTTTTTTAAAAGTCAACTTTTAACCAACTTTCCAAAATAACTCAAAATATTTTTAAAGGAATAAAACGGTGTATATATATATTTTTTGACATGTAGTAATCCAACTTTAAGATGTGGATTGAAATTAATTATTTTATTTTATTGATTTTTTTTTAAAAAAATAATAAGATGAAAAGAATAGTGTTTGAGTATAATTTGTTTTAGGTCTATAGATGTATTGCTTAAAAAAAATATGATTGATTGTTGTGTATACTTCATTTTTTGGCTTTTTTATTTGTTTGTTTTTTTTCAGTTTTTTTAAACATTTTTTAGTCAAAATGTTAAATTTTCAAAGGAAACCTAAATGTGGATAAAATTAAATCATTTTCTTTTTATAAAAAAAAGTTCCAAGAACATTATAATAATCATAGAATAAGGAACAACCTCTACACATGGATTGCGTCTAGTTTTGTAATTGATTTATGTATTTTTAGAAAAATTATTTTTAAAATTTAAATTAATTATATTTTACCTTCTTAACTATTATTAATTATTTTATCTTCTTTAATTTTAAAATACTATATACAAACCTATCAATTATTAAAATACATATGGAGGATAAAAAGTGAAACAATTTTTATAATGGAGGAATACGAATATATAATTTTAAAATTGAAGGGATAAAAAGAAATTCAATAATAGTTGAGGAAGATAAGGTGTTACTAAGAGCATCTCCAACCCACTAGGCATATCATGCTTGTTAGTCAAAATGCCTAGTATAACTCATTTTTTTCAACTCCAATGCACTAGGCATATGATTAGGCATTTTAGCTCAACTCATATTCACTAGCTACATGTAGCTAGCCTTCAAGACTAGGCAAAATATATTTAATCATTAGGATCATTTCCCTCCATCTTTGTTGCTGATGTGGCATTTTATAAAATTAATAGTATTTAGATGAATAGCTAAAATAAAGAGCATGGTTGGAGTAGAAACATGAAATAGTTAATAGGCAAAATAAAATATATACTTTATAATAATATTTAGATAGGCAAAATGCCTATTACCGTTGGAGATGCTCTAAGCCTTTAAAATTTCGATCTGTAGCATTGTATAAAATGGTTCCACAAAATAGGGATATTAATTTCATAATGGTTGTGAAAGATTAGGGGAGTTCCCATCCACTTATGCTCCTTAGCAAACTACTCGGCATTCAGACCGGAATACACGCATAAGGTTGGGTCCTAATGACTAGTTTGGTTTCTCACCGTTGTGTTTGATTGAAAAATTTAAAAATAAATTTGAAAAAAAAAGAAAAAAATGTGTAAAATACAAGTATATTTTATTCACAGTTTACTTTAATTTTCTCTTTCTTTTTTTCAAATCTCTTCTCAAATTTTCCAACCAAATACAACGTGATAGAAAAAGGTGATTAGAAGAACAAAATTCTAATCTTATAGACTGTTTGAGGGGTGTGATAACAAAATATAGAGAGGGGGGGTTTTGATTTTTACCAGATGGAGAGAGAAAAATAGAGAGAAAATAGGTTTGATTTTCAATAGGTAACGCGTTGAATGGAGAATGGATAGTTTGATCATTTTATAAAATCATGTCCTTATGAACTGAATAGTTTGATGCGTGGATTTTTGGACGAAAGAAATCAAAATTTAAATTTATAGCCTGAGTGTCCAATTATTAATTTTTGTCTTCCTTATTCTTTATAATTTGTGCCAAATGATTTGCCAACTTTTGGCAATTGCTTTATTTAGTTTCGACCAATTAATTTTTTCCCAAAATTTAATATTTTACTATTTTGCTCCCATGTATTTTATTGTATAATTTTTATCTTATTATTATCTTCTGTACTTTGGATTGTTATTTTCTGTTTGGGTATATAATGAATTTTTAAAGTCAGAATTTTGTAATCCAAAATGGCAGTTTTAGGCATTGTAATTACATACAATTAGACACACATAATGGCATTATCTCACAAATATTGAATCATATAGGAGAAATTGCGAATCAGTTGGAAGACCAAAAAAAAATTACAAAGTAATGGAAAAATTTATAATTTCAATTATTAAAGTTTATAAATTTTATCATTAATTTATTTTTACTTTTGGAAATATGGGCTCAATTATAGTTTCCCCAATCATATAATGGTTGTACCCAAAAACAAAAGCATTTGTCATTGTTTGACATTGTACTGTGTTACAATTTAACTTTGATAATGTCATTTTGCCTATAACCATGGGGGATGCTTTTATATCAAAGTTTGAATTTGAACGTTGGTTCTAAAATATGTGAAGTAATAGAAAAATATTAAGAAAAAAAAAATAAAATAAAACAAAATAAAAGAGTAAACAATTTTCTGTTTTGTTATTAGAGCATCTCCAACGGTGACTCAAATTTTTCACCAAATCTGAGTAAAAAATGACCCATTTCACCAAATTTGATACCACTCACTCCAACGGTTCACCTTTCACCAAATCTATCCCAGGACAACCGGGTGGTCGACAGGCCGGTTGACCGGTTAGGAATTTTTTTTTTTTTTTTTTTTTTTTTTTTTTTTCGCGAATTGTCTGAACTTTTTTTTTGAACTTTCTGAACTTTTTTCGGGTCGACCGGCCGGTTGACCGGTTAGGCAATTTTTTTTTTTTTTTTTTTTTTTTTTACGGTTTGAATTTTTTTCCTGAACTGTTTGAATCTTTTACTGGTCGACCGGTTGGTCAACCGGCCGGGCAACCAAATCTCCTGAACTGTTTGTATTTTACCAAATCTCGAGGGGAGTGTTTGTAATTTGCCATTTTGAGATTTACTGTAACTTCTATTTATTTTGAATTTTAACAAAACTCTGCTTTTTTTTTTTTTTTTTTTGGTTCCTTTCTTGTTTTATGCATACATGGACCTCATTTGTCAACATCTATGCTATTCTATAAAACAAACACTCAAGTCGGATCTTGAAAATTGAAGATTATACAATGCCGCAAAGTACATGAAAAAGAAACTGATTTAGCTACTGAATTATCCTTCTCCTTATTCTCTATCTAAGTCATTTATTCCCATGGATCATTTGTAATTAGCAATACGTAACTGTCGCATATTTGAATCACTCCTTCTAGTCTTTATAAAAGCAACTGCTTGGGTTCTTAAAATATTAGATTTGTTCATTTATTTTGGTAAAATGAAAATAAAAAACATATTTGATATTCATGTCCATTTCAAAAAATTATTTTGAGTCGATGGTTAGAGATTGTGACTAGAGATAGTTGTCGACCAATGGTGATCGAATCTGGGTGTAAGTCACAGGAGGTAATGACTAAAGGTAATTTTTGGCAAGAGGTGGTTGTGGTTATCGGTAAGTGATAGTTGCCACTTGTGGAAAGTAGTTGGTGATGTTGGAAGTAGTGGTCGAAGGTCAAAGGTTGTTGCCCAACGCCAAAAATGGTTACTGAAGATTGTTTTCGACAAAAAATAGTAACCGTTAGCGTTTAACTGTAGGTGATTTCCATAGGTTGAAATTGGCTGTCAGCAATAAGAGGTAGGTGGTTTTCAAAGGTCATCGGCAGTAGTTGTCTAAGGTGAGGGTGGCCAAATGTGGTGATCGGTGAGGGATCAAACAAGGAATCAAGTAGTAGGATAATTAAGATAAAAATAAAAATAAAATAAAATAATAGTAGGATGGTTGTTGAATAACATTTTTTTAGCACATTACTTAAAAATAACTTTACATACAATATCATATTTTTTTAATGGAGGAAAGCAACAAAATAATTGTTAATTTTGGTGGATAATAGCGCACAAAAAAGAAAAAAAAAAAAAACTTTTGAACGCACTTTCATAAAACTTATTCATGTACATATATTATAGTTTCGTTTGGCATGAATTATTTTGATTAAACTAATTAATAAAGACAAAACAAGTTAATTTAGCCAATAAGATAAGATATCACATCTAAATTATAATTATTTCACTTTTTATCTCACAACCATCAAGTACAACAAAAATCAAAATTTATTCTAAATACAATTTTTTTTAAATAGGTTAAATTAGCACATTCCAAACGAGGACTACATATGCATTGTTTTGATCAAATTCTTTGCGTTCGTTTTCTTATATGCTAATAGCCACCATTAAGGGTATGGATCAAATTGTATGTAATTTCTTTAAGAATTGGTTGAAAAGATGACTACAACATATCGATAGAACAATAATAAAGGGTAATTCTATTCGCACCAATTCCACTCAATGCACATACTTAATGAACACTTTTTTAGTATATATATCAAAAAAATAAAAAAAATTCTCAACACACATCCATTGATTCTAATAATACCCTCATCTTTAATTTCAAAGCTCAAAATTTTCTTTCATCCACCAACTCATCATTCGCGGCCGTTACCACCACTCTGTCAGCTCATTCCCTTTCCATCATAGACCTCCACAGTCAACTCAAAAGTGAGTGGTTTCGCGGCGAGAGACTTGTAAGCATGTATGACTCATAGCGGAATGTGGTTGCAAGCAAAAGAGAAAGAGACAACACGAGGAGATGACGGAAGAGAGGTGGCACAAGTGATGGAGGATAGTTGTGGTGTCTTAGAATTAGGATTTGGGTGCAACAAGATATGGATATCATGATATTTGTGTCCTAGATATTTTTATTCTAGGACAAAAGTATATTAAGAAAAATCTTCATTAAATGTATGAAGGGATAGAAATTAGTTTGTGAAAATAAAATTACTAAATAATGACCCATAAAATATACATATAATTTATGCAAGATGGACATTTAACTAGAAGAGATTAGGGTAAATAGATTATTGCAATCCTCAATTAAGAAACATTTTTCTGAAAAGTATAGGAGAAAATAGCATGCATGTGTTATTAGATCTCTCACTATTAATAGGAATTTAATAAGAGCACTATGCAATCCATTTATATAAAACTCAAAAGTTTCATCAGTTCTTTGTCATACCACTTGCCTGCCTTGCTCTCAACAACATTATGCAGTTGAGACAAAAGGGTAGCCCAAGTGGTAAGGGCCCCTTTTACTAGACCCCAAGTCTGGGTTTCGAGTCTCACCTCCCCTCCCCTCCCCTAGGTTAGATTACAACTGTGTTGTGAAAAGAAGTTGCAATTGACCATAGCAAACATGTTAGGAGGTAATGAACCTAACATTATCACAGAATGGCCATTTAGGAGAGACCTTACAGTAAGAGAAAGGGATGGGCATTTCTCCAGTCCACAAAGTGGACTAGACCGTACTGTTGGATCTGTTGGACCTGTAGAACTCACCACGAGTCCCGTTTCAATAATCAGAACCGTTCAATATGTAGAGCTCGTCCAGTACTTCATCCCTGCAAAAAAATCACGTTGATCGAATATCGATAGCCCCTCGATCGGAATACATTTTTGTTAACAATTTATTTTAAAAATCATATTTACTACTGACAAAAATGTGTTCCGATCAAAGAGCTATCGGTATCTGGTTAAAGTGATTTTTTTTTGCAGGAATGAACTACCGCATAATGGCATAGAACAAATTTTTACATGGTGAAAAAAGCATACAATCCCCAGAGATGTATAAAACAGTAAAATTATACCTTAGCCTCTATAATTCACCTCTTGTGTCGATTTGATCTGCGTAGTTCCAATTATAGCAATTTCACTCTTTCATTTTTCACATTGTGTTAATTTAGTCCAATTGATAACATCCATCAAGAAATTGAACAGAAATCAAGGCTGAAATAATGCATTAAAAAAAGAATGCAACATTTCAAATTGGATGCCAACCCCTCAATCACTTTTAGGAGAGTGAATACACTAGTTTGCTCCTTGGTTTTAGTGAAGTTTTTGAAGAGCCATTATCAATTGGACTGAATTGATAGAATGTGAAAAATTCAAAGGTAAAATTGATGTAATTACAACTACAAAAACTAAATTGACACAAAAGAAAAACTATAAGAACTATAGTCGTAATTTTTCCAAAAGAAAAATTGCAAAAATAAAAATAAAATGTTTGAGAAATATGGTGCAAGATCATGAGGCAAAAGAAGATGGGATAGACATTCATGACCATGGAGTTGTGCTAGGATAACAAATATTTCAAAGTTAAGCCTCTACAGAGAGGAAATGGTTAATCAAGCAAACCCATTATAGATAAAACCTAACAGTTCTACCACATAGCAGTGGTTTAAAGAGCCATCAAAATTTTGCCCAAAAATACCAATTATCGATGGTCAACTTACTTGCTAATGGTTGATAAAAAAATAAACATCAGTTAACTGAAACCAATAATGATGCAAATTTAAGTAGACCCTTTAATTTGATACAACTATCTGTTAACTAGTCTTGGCATGCTACACAATAAATAAATAAAAACACCCCAATGCAGTGCCAAGAAAGCCAAAGTTACCAGTGCTTGAAAGCTGCAAGGAACAAAGCTGTGCAAAACTCAATCCCCATGAAAGTCAACTTCATCATATTGTGTGTGTTGTGTTCATCCTACGACTGCATTTCCGTGTACTCAATAAAACTGAATTTGAACTTCAAGGTTAAAAAATTTCATTACACAAGTTGATTAGGAGAACTTAAACCATTAACAGATTATAGTTTACACAAAACGGGAGAAATCATCTTCCAAAACAATTGAAACATCACCTCTAATTTTGTCGATTTACCTTCAGATATGGCAAGGCACCAATGACATTGTCATAGTCACTGCGGTTAACTTGTAGCTGTAAGAGAACAAAATTCAATCAAAATTGAGATACAACTGAAGGATCAACGTACTGATATCAGCATATGTTCTATTCTTTTGAATTTATTTTTCTTACTCGTAAACAATTCTCTATCAGAAAATCAGAAACTGTGATTCCAGATCAATGGTAATATCAACCAATCACTGATATATATATGCATATATATATTAGCAATGATCATTTAAAATTTGTCCATTTTGTTTTTCATGAGATATGGGCAACTAGTTCATTTCCCTAGATGTCATAACATCATTCATTTGGGTAAATGTTACTCATTAAATTTTCAAGGTCCAAGCTCTCTCTCATTGCAGAGAAAGGCTATATCCAACAACCACTATCTTTTATCCAAGTAATTTTACTAGCCAAAGCTTTAGAAAGGGGGGGAAAAATCTAAAAACGAAGAAATATCGATGACATCACAATATTCAAAGGTTTGTTGGGGAAGTGGTTTTTTTTTGTGGCTCTTTGGCTAAAATATGGGTGAAAAAAACAGAAGTATTTAGGAATGGCTTTTTATGTAAAAACGTGCTTTTTTGTACGGACTTTTGATTTTTTGGCTTTTTTTAAATGACTTTTTAACCTTTTGGATAAATTAGCCTATTGCGAAATGACCCCTAAGGTTGTGTTTGATTGGAGGATTTAATTAGAGAAATGGAAAGAGAAAAGGAAATACAATCCCACTTTTTGTTTGGTTATCATGAAAAACACAGGGAAAATGAAAATGAGAGGGAAATGCAATCCCACTTTTTGTCTTTTGGTTCACTTAGCCTCTTTTTTTTTTTCAAATTCCCAACTCAACCAAATATAGCTTGGAATTTGAGTCCTATTAATTCTTTCTCCTTCTCTTTCTATTTCCCTTTCCCTTTCCATTTCTCTCATCAAATCCTCTAACCAAACACAGTCTAAATTTCTGCTAAAGCTTAGATTCCAAGGCCCCGTTTGTTTTGGGTTATAGCAAGGGGATTAGGATTACTAGTACCTTGGGATTAGTATATGGGGTGTTTGTTTTGAGAGATAGCCTTGGGACTATTAATACCTTGGGACTAACTAATACCTTGGTATTACTAATACCTTGTTTGTTTTGAGAGATAGGGAGGGTATTACTAATACCTTGGTATTACTAATACCCTTGGGGAGGGGATTCATAGTGAGGAGGTAGAGATGGTATTAGAAAAATAGTGAGGGGATTAGAAATTTTTTTATTTTTTTTATTTTTTATATATTGGAAATTTTTTTTAAAATATAATTTTTAATTTTTTATATTTTTTATTTGTTTTGTTATTTTATATAAAAATAATTTAACAACTCCTCACTACTAATCCTCTCACTACTAATCCCCTCACTATCAATCCCCTCACTAACAATCCCCTCATTATTAATCCCCTCACTATCGATCCCCTCCATTCTATCTCTGAAAACAAACGACCCTCACTAACAATCCCCTCACTATCAATCCCCTCCATTCCATCTCTGGAAACAAACGGGGCCCAAAGGTAAGAAGTCAGGCCTTGGGTTTGAAATGAGCCACATAAACCCCTTCATTGTCTGCAATAGCAAGTGGACAAAATAATCAATACTTGAGAGAACCCTCACCATGATCACCACAGACAATCTCCCTTAAAGCTAATTGTCATGAAGTTGCCTTGTCAACATCATCATGTGATGCTTTGTTATGAGAATTTTACGATTCATGATTTTGCATTTTTTGCAAAATCGATACGAATCTATGAGTGAATCTATTTTGATGTGAATCTCTAGTGAAACGCACGATTCACTATTGATTCACGAATTGATTTACGATTTGATTCAATTTTTACGATTCATGCAATTCTTGAAACTATGACAACTGGCATATTTTGATTCTTTTTTTCTCCATTTTTTTTTAATAGTTAAAATGGCATAATACAACTTCTAATAGTGTTTAGTACAAAATAACTAACATTTATACATAATTTGTTGTTATTTTGGAGATGATGGAGTTTTCAATGGGATCAAATTAGATTGAGTGAGTCAAACAATATGTTTTTAACCTTTCTTCTAATTTTTTTCTTTTCTTAAAAAAAAATTATAGTGTATTTTCTGAGGATGCCTCATCCTCCTCTCTTTGGCTTTGTGCCGTAATATATTCTTGTTTGTTGCTAATCAAAAAAAAAAAAAGAAGAGTAACTTGCAATATGAATTATCTATTGCTATTTTATTGAAAGAAATGTACTTCAATATTATATGGGTGAGGTAATATTGAAGTAGAAAATAAGAATATACGCTTATGACATATCAATATGGTGTCAGGTTATTATTACTTAGAAATTGAGAGTTTATCTTTGTTTACTTTCTTTATTAAGAATGGCTGATAAGCAATATCTATAAAAAAAAAAGGTATGATGGTAATCTTACATGAGAACCTGTCTTAACTTCTTACCTATTAGACAACGTGATTATCATTCAAAACACCATGTTCATTGATTTAAGTCTAAATATTTTATATTTATAAGATATATTTAACATCTAAGTGTGTAAATATATTTTTCTAAGTAATTTATAAAAAGTGACCAAATCTTTACGATTTACGATTTGATTTGATTAGTGATTCGGTACAAGGTCATTTTGATTCACGACTTGACGACTATGATGTGATGTAGCACTAGAAGAAAAGTAAAGGAGAAGAAGAAATATAGAGAAGCAGCAGACAGAGAAAAAAGGGGAGGAACCAATTTCACAAATCAATTTTCAATTAATTAATATCCAAACCAAGTCTACAAAACCTATTATATATAGGCTTATTCATAGGCATGTTAGAAAATCCTGATAAAAGTTATTAAAAAAAATTATAATAATTAAATCCAAACTAAATAATGAAACCCAAATAATAATAATAATAATTAAATCCTAACTAAATAAAGAAACCCAATAAATATAAAATAATGCCAAAATAAAATATTAAAACTTTGTCAAGGTGGTCCACTCGTAAAATTATATTATATCCATACTCACCGGTACTTATTCAAAAATATTTCCATTTTTGCATGTGTATTATGCCTCCATCTATTTCGTACTTTGTCAATAGAAGTTAACACAACTAATCTGGTATCTTTGGTATGTAAAACCAAAAATCCATTTAGATTCTAACACCAAATTCATCATTTAGCACCTTTCCAAGCCTTTTTTCCTTAAGAAGCACTAATTTTTCAATCATAACACCATATGTTTCCTCACTGCTAGTAAGTACATGCAGCCTGCTCAAGGTTTTCGCAATGTGGCTAACTTATCTAAAAGAAAATTGAGGGAAAGAAAGGTAGAAAGGAGATAAGAAGTCTCTTAAAGAAAATAAAATAAACAATAGAACAAAAGGGCAATATCAACTTCTGCTTGCTTCTAGGTTTAAGAATTCCTTCATTGTTGCACCGAAACATACAAATATTGACTACTACAAATCCCCATGAAGCTTCCTTGCGGAGGAACATAATCAGCCTTACAAGGCCTGCCTATAATAGCCCTTTCTTTGCCATGGATCAGCCTCTTCATAACCTTATTGATTCATCAGAAGTAACTAGCTTAAGGCCTCCAGCTTAAGAATAGACAAGTCATTCTATTATCAATCTGGTACCCATTCTTATGAGAACACCAATCCAAATTCAGCATTATCTCTAACACAAGAGGCTTCCAAAATTCATTAATTAAAACTCAACCAAGTTGGTACACAGAATGGATCATTTGGCCCAATACTATCTAAATAGGCCCCATAGTAACAGCTGAATAAATAACTTCAGGGTTGAAATCTTGAAATCGCTATCCAATATTGGATTCCTTAGAAAACTTCAAACTTCATAACAAATTATGATCAAATGAATGTCAATCTTACCAATGGATTTTAGCTTTCATCTTCCAAGCCTAATCATATTTAAAGAACTAATAGTGATCTTTACATATCATATACACACATACATGCATGGTTGTTAGAATCGTACGATTCACAATTTGATTCATATGATTCAATATAAGTTTTAACAAAAACAATTCGAATTGTGATGTTGATTCGGAAATTGAGTGACTTGTGCAATTCAATTTGCGATTCACTATGATTTGTTACGATTCAGTTCTATTCTATTTTTGTTTTCTCTTACATAATGCATGAAATCAGATGGTGTTCGCCAAACTATAAAGACATATAGAAAAGAACAATTAGTTATATTCATATACATGATGTTATAAGTATATACATATATAAAAATTAGTTATATTTATTTTTACATCATTTTAAACACTATGATTTATATAGATATATAAGATTATATCTTATATTAAATAAAATTAATCTTATGACTCACGATTCAATACTGTTCACTATTCTCTATTTTGGCAAGACAATTTAGGATTCAATTTGCGATTTGACAACAATGCACACGTGTATATATATATATATATAAACTGAGAAATTGAATGAAATAAAAACGCAATTAATACCTCCTATTCTAACACATAACTATTAACTAAAAGGGTGAAACAATCGCATGGCCATAAAATTATGCATAAAGAAGAGATTGAGAATGAGTTAAAAGAGGGAAAAAAAAAAAGCCCTAACCATCTTGGAGAGTCGCAATTTCCTCTTGGTATTCTTCTTTCCAAGCAAATGCTGCTTCCCAGCTCTCCTCCTCATAATCTTCCCACTACCCGTGACTCGAAATCGCTTCGCCGAAGCCTAAAAACACCCCAAAAAACAAATAAAATAAGTACCCAATTCCTCAATTACCGACAAAACACACAGAGATAGAGAGAAAGACCTTGTGGGTTTTCATTTTGTAGCCTTTTGCAGAGACGACGGTGAGAGATGGGGGGTTTGGAGTGGGAAAGTTGAGACGAGGAAGGATTGGGAAGAAGCCAGATATGGTGTGTGAGGAACTGAGGTTGAGTGAGGATTTCTTGGTGAATTGTGAGAGGCGAACAATGGTAGGAGTGGTACGAAGACTAGTAGTAGAAGAGCGAGCAATTGGGGGTGAGACTTTGAAAGCAAAAGAGAAGGTTGTTGAGGACCACGCCATTGTTGCTCTCTCTCTGCTATGTGTTGTTTTGGTTGAGAGGAAGGACCTCTTCTAGTTGTGTTTGTTTACTGGGTGCGTGTGGATAATGAATGGTTGTGTTGCATTCTGTGCTATAAAATGGATAAATTTTAGGAGTCATGACAGAGGCCCTCTAATCACCATCCCACAACCGCTGGTTAGAGAAGCAGGAAAAAAAGAAAAAAAAAAATTTAATCAATGAAAAAAAGAGGGAGTCAAAAGGGATGAAAAAAAAGGAGGCATGAAACATTTTTGAAATTTTAGAGACCCGAATGTTTCAATTTTTTAAATTTAGGGTTCTTTTGGAGGTGGATTAGTGGTCAAATGTTAGCTTTTAACCTATTTTAGTTTATATTATTTTTCTAATTTTTTTATATATTTTAAAAAAAAATTAAAAAATTAACTTTTAACTATATTTTTAAAACAATTCTTAATGATGTGTAGTGTAGGTGATATAATTGGTTAATGATTAAGAAAATATGAGTGAATGTTATCTTAAAAATCTAATTGATTGTTGTATTATTAAATTTGAAAATTGAGTCTAATTTTTAGACTTGTATAGCAATGTCCGAAATAAAAATAGGTCTATTTTGAGAACTCAGTTAAAAGTTTTTTTTTTAATTAATTAATTTATTTTTATCACATTACCTTTCTATTTTTTTTACACATATTTTATTTTTAAAAGTAAAAAGTAAATAAATATAAAAAATAAAAAATCAATTTTTAACATACTTCTTAAAATAGACCATAATCGCATAAATAAAAATAAAAATAAAAATAATTCATCCACTAAAAAATGGTTACATGGGTCTTTTTGTCATTTTCAACCTTGCTTTCGTTTGAAATAAAATAATTCTAAACTTGATATTATTTTGTAAATATATTGTTAGTATAAGCAGAGTGTTTTTATCTTTTTTTTATTTTAATTTTTTTTGATTGAGGTGTTTTAACTTACATAACTTTTAATTATTAGCTTATTTAAACTATTTCTGCCTGATAAACTATAAGTAGAAGTTACACTAAATAATCTGGCATAGACTCTCAAAAATTTAAAAAAAATAAACAAACATAGGTGGTGTTTGGGAAGTTTGTGTGTTGGGTTTTTTTTGATTTTTTTCACTATAAGACAAACTTTTTGCAAAACTAAAAAAAACAAATCTAAACAAAATATTATATCCAACCCCATAATTATTTCATTTTTCTCTCACAAACATCACATCCAACCATAAAAAAAAAACCAACTATCTTTCCAAATACCAAAAAGTTTTTATCCAATAATATTGTACAACTAAAAAAACCTACATAAAAACTCACTTTCCAAAGACCCACTTTAAATGCATGTAAATTAAATAGATATAAAATCAGAAAAATATTTCCTTTGCATTATCATTTTACTAACATACACAAATATTTTTTTTTGTGTATGTTAAGAGTAAAATGATAAAAATCACCTAAATTAAAAACTACTAGTAGGCTGGGTTTTTGAGTTGAGGTTTGTGTGCTTGGGCAATTGAGTTTTGAAAACGCGTTGGTGAAAATCTTAATCAAATAAGTTTTTGTTTCAAAACTTGAATTCATAAAAAGTTTTGAAATATATGCTGTGAAAGTCAAATAAGTTTTAGATTTTCAATTTTGAAAAAATAATTCAAAAATTCAACCAAAGAGACTAAGCTTTTTTATTACTTCAATGAAGACGTTTGCGGATTAACTACCAAAATAAATGTATATTAACCTAATCCCTAATTGTAGTGACTAGGTTACCATTTGGAGTTGTTTGACATGATCTAAATAAGTACACTTTTTGTCTTTTTACGAAAAGATGTACAGAAAAATAAAGAGGTGATGTGATGAAAAAAATATAAAAAGATAAAAAGATTGATTATTTTTTAGTTGCCAAAACAAAGAGAAAAGGAACTGCCACATGCCACCGTCGTAATGACTTTTTTCTCCAAATGACACATTTCAACTTTTTTTAATTATTATTATTTTAAAAAAGGACAAATTATCAACACCCCTCAAGATTTGAATAAAATACAGATTCACTCCTGAAATTTGAAAAATTACATTCCGTCCCCTGAGATTTATATTTACATTACAAATTGACCATTGAGATTTATATTTGCATAACAAATTGCACCCTCATTTGTTATGTAAATATAAACCTCAAGAGGCAATTTGTAATTTTCCATACCTTAGGAGAGAATCTGTATTTTAGTCAAACCTCGAGATAACTATTGGTAATTAAAAAAAAAAACCATAAATATTATCCAGAAACATCAGTGTGGTTAAAATTCATGTAAGCCATGCACCCCACAATATAATAAATCAATCTCAGCCATGCACTAGTGCTCTGAACAGTTTTCATGGCAACTTTTTTGGGTCCATGGCTTTAGTGTTTCATTAGCAATGTCTTTCAAAACAAAAGCAGATGGTCCAAGATTAGAACAATTACTTTTCCAACATGGATTCAGTCTGGTGCTGTTAAAAAGCCATCTGTATTCTGTACTATTAGACAAGAAGGAGCATAACTATAAACCTTACATTTTTGGGTGCATATGCTGGTTACCAGAACACACTGAAGCTACCCAGTTCATCTTCCCAAAATCATAATGTGCTGCTTCTTTTTGCCCCAAGTAGATCATCACTTTCACTCTTTAAGATACACTGAAAGGATAATGAACAGATCCTATTTATGCCACCGAATTCTTCATCTTAGTCTCAGAAATTATGCCCTCATCAAGATGGCAATAGCCTCCCACTCTAAACTACATATCACATCCTGTTATGGCAACAATTGAAATCATCAATCATTTTTAGCAATTCCACAGATATATGACATAGCAAAGTAATTTATCCCCAATATCAAAATGTTGTACATCTCTGAGATAAAACTGAGTATAGGAGAAAGAGAGAAGAAAAAACACATCACCGAGGGGTTCTGTCGGTCAATGTCAAAGCTGTTGATAGCACATGGTTCAGCCAAGAGTTCAATGGGTTCCTCACCTGTGCAAAGGAACAGTGTGCAACAAATCAACCACCAGATAAGAGAGGTTACAAATTGTCTGAAGCAAGTATTCCTTTGGTAGAGGAGGCAAAAGATTTGGATGAGTCAAAACGAATAATGCATTTAAAAAACCTGACCATTTAATAAACGGGTTTAAGTGATTTGGGTTGAATTTGGTACACAGGTATGGAAAATTAATCTGATCAACCCACTAACCCGACAAATTAACCAGATCAACCCAACAGGTATACAACTCATTTATAACCTGTTTATTTATATATTTTGACGAGAGTTTAAATGGGTGAAATTGGATGGATTTAAGGTTTCCGGTTAAGTGTGCCAGCTCTATCTTTTTGCCACAGAAAACAAGAAATATGAATTCAGCCACTTAGCAAATAAGATGACCTTAAGCCTTTCCACTAGAGCACTCAAATGGAAAAAGCCAGACATGGCAACAAACTTCATACCTTGTTCAACAACAGCAAGGATTCCATCTTCTGAGCAGATCATAACAGGTAACACCCGTGATGTTGACGTGTTACCAATGTTTGAAGTATAGCTATCATACTGGACCTCCCAAATTTCACTCTCAGATAATGAGTGGGACTGAAACTCACCTGCTGCAACCCCAGAAAGAACTATTGGCTGCTGTTGCCACCGAAGATCCCATGCAAATACAGTACCAGAAGAGCCTCCTGCCTTCATGTAAACCAGCATAATAAATAAACAATCTCGAAAATTTTCTCGAGTTAGAACACAGAAAGACAACTTATTCGGTTTCCAAATAACCATGTAATCCAATAATTAAACATGGAAGAATTTCAATGTGATCACAAAATCCTTTGAATCATCACCCAGCATGAAATTTAACCATGTCAACCAATATATTATCATGATCAGTCAAAATATTCAGCTTGCATAAAATTCATGTAGAATGATTTTGTTCAGATGCTTACAAAAATAACCATCTTAAATGAATGTGTTTTTTTTTTTTTTTTTTGAACAGTAAAAAAGGGGTTCTCCTTGGAGGCATCATCTTAAATGAATGTTCATAAGCATAATTCCTGTCTGGTCTATTTAATATTAAAAGGAAAAAAACAAAAAAAGCGAAATCAAAATTCATAGACTTTGACAAACTAAGTTTAAGAAAGTGAATCATTCTAAACCCTTGGACACAGAAATATACGCCATAGAAACAATTTCAGTCAGAGTTGGTAGTATTTGCGCCAATACATAAATCTCAATGATCATCAAGAAGCAACTAGATACAACCAGAGCTATCTCGGCTACTTAATCAGCAGACAATTAGAGATCCTATTTATCTCAAAAAAACCTAATCAGTTGACCCAAGGACAGAATATCAGCATGCATCTGCAGCAGCAGTACAACAGCAAACTCCGTTACAGTGTGGCAATCAAATAAACCATATAATTATATAGCTGCCCAAACCCCTTATAATACCACAATGTGATACATTTTGATAAGATCTGTTTCTAACACAAATAACAGTAGGCTTTAGTTTATATTCCAAATCATCATCTTTATTATCTTTATCAAGTCATTACTGAACCTTTTAGCAACTAAGAAAACTACAGATAAAGCATAAATATTATCAGCCACTGGATATTCCAAATATACTGTAATTTTGCTCCCCCAAAAAAATATTAGGTGAGGGGAGACAGAGAGAGAGAGAACAATGGGGACAGCTAAAACAAAACCCAATAGTTCGTACACCCCTGTCCTAATGCCTTAGCATTTACATTCTAATGTTTTTAATTCTTACTTGATGGACTCTACATTATGCCCATGAGTTAAGCTTAGTGCATTAAATCTACATATTTTTATGAGAGGAATGAAGAATGAGAAAGCAGCATCTTACAATACAAGTGTGTTTTCTTGATGGATGAATATCAATGGAGTGTACAATCCCAGAAGTAGTTCCATGAGCCCTGCAACATTATTAATATGAAGAATCACATCTCATCACAACAAAAACAAACCATGAAACAAAAAAACTGCTTCTACTCAGATGGACAGAGTTGAATCCAACTGTCAAAATATGCCGTTAAGATAGTGCAAACAGAACAAAAATAAGCACTGAATTTAGAAGCATAATAGAAACTCATCTAAGAAAATGACTAATACCACTTAAGAACACATTAAGCTTCAAGAAATTCCTACATTAGTATGTTTAAATTATCAACAAATTATGAACTCCTCATGATCCTTGCATGTGAAGTGTATCACCATCCATCTTTTCTCTTTTGTTTATTTTCCCAAAATCATAACTTTATTTGATAAGAAGCAAATTTTATCAGAACATATAGGAAATAGGTCCCCTTAACACATTAGAGCACAAAAAAACAACAGATTTTAGTTCAAATAAATAATATAATAGTTCTCAAAAAAAATAAAAATAAAAGAAGTCTGAAATGAAAAAGAAATAAATAAATAAAGAACCTGAGTGGAGAACAAAATAATTCTCATAAAGAGCCATGTTCAAAAAGGGGGATGAACGAAAATCTCATTAAAATGCTCTAATTAGAGGCTTTAACCTTGTGTCCTGGCCTCCAAAACTCTACTAGACATGAAAATGTGATCAATAGGTGACAACTGCTAAATTAGCTGAAACCTCCAAGTATATAAATCACAGAACTCTTTGTACTCTCAAATATTACTTGCCAGCAAGTTACACTTAAGCCAGATTGAACTAACGTAAAGCTCAAGTGATCGCCCTTTAAAGCCAACAACATAAGCTCTAAACATTTCCAACCATTATCTAGAACACACCTTTAAACCCACCTCATATTGATAAAAGTACGTAACTACACACCTTTAAGGTGTGTCAAGATGGGATCCGGATTCTCTCCAACACTTTCTTCATACAACCATCACCCGACAGTTTATCCAAATACCACAAATGATAATGACTAGCTATTGAATTGTGGTATTTGGATCAAGTGTTGAATGATGGTCGTATAAAGTAAGTGTTGGAACTGGAAAGGGTGTTCCCCCAAGATGTACCCAAAATAAAGGTTCATTTTTGGCTATGAAGCATAGACACCGCTCCGAGGGCTCCGTACCAGTGTCGAACACGTGTCGGACATGGTGGACACGTGCTCGACACGCAGCTAAGAGTGTCCCAATTCTTTATTTTTTTTTGCAGCCGGACACGTTTCGGACACCTTCGGGGACACGTTCAGGGTCAATTTCACAGTTTATGGAACTTTTGTGGGTCAATTTGTAAAAAAATAAAAACAAAACAATATGTGCCCTAAATGAAGGTAGAGCAGAGCAGAAAGAGAGAGAAGAGAACAGAAGAACAGAGGAGAAAGAGATAGCAGACCTGATCGTTCGTCGTCGTCACTCGTCGGCTATTATCTAAGGTACACATTCGCTTCTTCTTCTTCTTCGTTCTTCGATCTTCGATTTTCTTCTTTGATCTTCTTCTTCTCCGATGCTGTATCTCTCTCTCTCGCAGTCACTCATTCTCTCTCTCTCTCTCTCTTGCAGTGGCTGTCACTCTCTCTCGCAGTCACTCTCTCTCTCTCTCTCGTTGTCTCTAATCTTCTTCAATCTTTTTTTTTTTTGTTTTCGTTTTCTTTTTCTTTTATACGGTCAGTGAGTGGGAGTCTTGCTCTCTTCAATATTTTTTTTTCTAATTTCATAAATGATAATGACTAGCTATTGAATTGTGACATTTAGATCAAGTGTTGAATGATGGTTGTATAAAGTAAGTGTTGAAACTGGAAAGGATCTTCCCCCAAGATGTACCCAAAATAAAGGTTCATTTTCGTATGGGGCAGGCAACTAATAGGCATGATAAATTTATGACATCTCCAAAATCCAAAGCCAAATTGAAATAGGACTTGAAAAATTCAGCCTAAATTGCAGTTTTCACTAGTAAAAGATAAAAGACAATAGTAGAGCAACCCATGCAATCTGCATAGGACTCTCACTGAAATATATTTCAAATTAACATTCCTTCCTAATTTTTAATTTAATATTTATCACTACTTTTCAAAAAATGGGAAGATTACCCAGTCCTATCTCATGTTTTCACTCCTCTACATTCTTAATTTTATACTATCTTTTACCCATTTAGTTTTACTTATAAATAGGAGAAAAAGAATAAAAAACACAACGGAGATTGCTCCATACAAGGATTGTAGGCCTTAAACAAAAATTTTAATGGACGAAAAATTGAAAACTAGCTGCCTAGTAATACCCAGACCAATCAATGGGAACCATGCAATTGCAAGGAATCACAAGCAGAAAAGACTACCAACATAAATAATCATCCGTCTCTTTTTAAATCTCTCCAAAAGGGAACGGGGATTAGGGATCTTGTCTCTCTTCTTTCATTTGTTTGGGACATGGTAAGCTAAATTTTTTTAAAAAGCGACGATTGGGAAAGGACACTTTGAAGCATATTTCTAATCCCAACTCCATACTTTGAAGCATTCACTCTACATCATGTACACAAAACACACCCACATACATTAAGTACATGCATTATTGCAGATAGATTGCACCCTTGTGACATTGGATGAGTCCTTGTTTCAACTCAAATATGGGCGGCAAATAAACATGATCAAGTCCAGACCTTGCCCATATGATTGACATGTATAACAACATTTGCCACATCTGAACCCAATTAGAATCCGTATTTTGATAGAATTTTCTTATTATTCAAATAGGGAGATCAACAAGTTCCATGAGATCATTTTGAAGATAAAGTTTGCAAATTTGCATCTCAGGTTGAAAATGAGTTAGTCACAGACCTACTTGCCACTACTTCTATCCAGATTTTTGGATGAAACTACAATGTTTAAAATGAAATTTCTATACAATAATTGTACAAAATGGAAAAATAAATAAATTGGTATTTGCTTACCAAATACCCTTGAACTGAGAAGCTGGTCCTCCAGGCTTTCTCTGATCCCACCACTGAAGACTAAACCCCAATCCACCCGTGGCAAACTCCATCGGCGACGCCCACGTCGCCGCTGTGTACGACACCAACCCATTGCTATCGAAAAACCGGCGGTGACTCAAATTCGAATTACCAACGCTCACCAAATTCACCCTCCCATCTTCCCCAACACTAACACACTCAGACCCATTTTCCTGCACATCAATACACGAAATGGGTCCAACGTGCAATGTCTTCCCAGGCACCGAAACCTCCGATTCGATCAACGCATCGACCGGGTCAGCGAGCAGGACGTGGAGCGAGCCGGAGAAGGTGGATGCGGCGATGAGGGGTTTGTGGAGGGTTTGAGAGGCTTTGAGGGAGGAAATTCTTGAGGGTGAGGACCATAAGGATTGAAGAGTTAGATTTGCGGGTTTTGATCGGGTTAGGGAGTGGATTTCGATGGCGGAGGAGTTGGAATCGGAGTCGAATACGGCGAGGACGACGAAGCGATCAAAGGCGGGGAGAGTACCCTTTTCTCTTGTTTTTTCTTTTGGTGGTTTGATTATCTACAATTTATGAAACTTGTCTTTGGTAAACAAAAAGGTTTATTCAGTTTTATTTTATTTTTCTCTTTGGTTGATTTGTACTTTACCCTGCTGTAGGTTGTATTCCTACTCATTTGCTTCCTTGTGCAAAAAAAAGTTTGTATTCCTTTTCCCTCTCCTTTTTGTCTTCTAAATTAGTAGATTATTTGAAAATCATTTTATGCATTTGATGCCAATCTTTTTTCATTAGATAGCTGTATTCTAGAAATGTGTTAAGTTAATTAGGATGTTTAAACTTATGCTGTTAATATCAGTTCTTTTACATGTTCATAATCTAATCACCGAATTGGATACATAGGGTGTAAGAGTTTTAGAGATTTAGGGCTAGTTTGGCATGTACTAAATAAGTCAAAAAGTCAAAAAGTCACTATCTTATTTAAGTCACATCATCTTATTTAAATCACATCACCTCTCTAACACATCACATCAAACCCAACCTAAACCCACCAATAAGTCAAAAAGTGCACTTTTTTAGGACATCCCAAACCAACCCTAAATGTTAGTTTGAAATATTCTAAATAAATAAGAAAAGATATGTTAATTGATATGACTCAAATAAGTGTACTTATATAAAATAATATATTTATATAATTTAATCCAAGTAAAAATTTAAATTAATTAAAAAATTAAAAAACCAACTCCCATATCAAACGAAACGTAAATATGAATTTAACAAAATTTAAAAGATTTCTGAAATGAAAATTTCTCACGGCCTGAAATCCCTTAACCCAAACCTGCCAGATAACCATCTCTTCAAACCAAAGCCAACTCATCAAGTCTCATTACCAATAGTACTCAAGTTGTTTGGAATGTTTTAAATAAGTGTAATTTATGATTTTTTTTATAAAATATGGATTGAATTTAAAGTAATGTGATATAGAGATGATGTAACTTAAATAAGATGATATGATTTAAATAATATAGTAATTTTTTGACTTTTTAACTGTTTTAAGGTATGCTAAACCTAACCTAAATCAACAAGTCCCATTACCAATAATTCTCACTAAATTATAAATTGACCTCAAAATCTGGAAAAATTACAAAAAATTATAAATAGTTATAAAAAAATTATATTTTTGTATAAATTTAGAATTAATATTTATATGCGTTTAATTACAGAATTTAGAGCTAAAATAAAATATAGTTTAGATTATATTTTTGAATTAGAAAGTGAATTAAATTAATTAAATTTTCTTTTGGCTATTATTTCAGAACAAATTGTAATAAATTATAGTCAGAGAATTGATAGCATTAAGGAGACAAATTCCTTAGAAAAGGCCAGTGTAAATTACCAATGAAAGTTTTTACAAGAGTTAATATTAAATTAGATCTGCAAACCCTTAATTGAAATTGGTATTAGAGCTTGGTTTCTCTACCTTGCCAATAACATTTGCATGAGAATTAAATATAGTTAAAAAGTAGAATATGATAATTTAAATAATAATATTTCTTTACAAATAATAATAGAATAAAATAATACATTAATTAGGCTATTAAAAAAATTAACAAAATTTTTAGAACTAATCAATTAGAAATAATAAATAAAATTAGACATTTTATACAAGATCTAAAAACAAGTAGCCATTTTTGAAGGAAAACAAAAAGAATTAGATCTATATCCTTATCCATATAAATGAAATAATCCAGAAGAACCATTTGAACTAGTTTCACCAGCAAACTAAAAAGATAATGGAGTCAAGTAACTATAGCCTAAAATAGTTAGAAGAAATGGCTGAAAAGGAAAATGATAATGAAATAAAATACAAAATAATATTAGAAATAGCTGAACAATTAGATATGATAGATGAAGAAATAATAGAAGAAATAAATAATGAGAGAATAGAATTAGAAGAAGATATATATAAACAATTAGGATTAATCAATTTGAGAGAAATGAAATACATTCTCCTTGAAGATTTAGAACAAACAATGAGAAATAGTTATGCAGAAAAAAAAAAATAATGTCCTACAAGGCATAGGAAAAGAAAAAGAAGATAATACGTTAGAAGGGTTCGAAGAGACTAATAACATTAATGATATTGATATGGTAGTTGTAAAACAAAAAAGAAGTGGCTTGTCTGCTCCACCTAATCCAAATCATCCAAATTTTAGAAACTTTATTAGGCATCAATTGGAAGATGACGCTATAAATTATGACTATAGAAAAAGAATGAGAAACTACAGTTATTTAAATAGAGGATCATTTGCTAGGGGAGTACCCAATTATGCAAAATTTATCCGTAGAAAAGAAGTATTTTTAAGAGAAGTACCACTAAAACCAATAAGTAATATATGATATTTATTAGATATTGATTCTACTACAAATACAAGTGAGGTAATAAAACAATGGAAGAGAGGTATAAGCCATGTACTAAATATCCATAGCAGCAGCTGGAGTGCAAAGTTTTCTAAATTATATTGAACATAATTTCACGGATATAGTAACAAGTTGATATGATAGCCTGAGAGAAAGTGATAAAGAAAAATTAACAATAGAAACTACCTCAGAAGGTATGTCAACCCTATTTGTAAAATATATTGAAGATGTGTGATTGATAGTAGTGTAAGAGCATCTGCAAGGTTTACTCTCTCTTTTTTCATCAAATTTGAGTAAAAATTTGAGTTCAACGCTAAATTTTTAATTTTCATCAAATAATCGGTCGACTAGGAGGATTTTTGGGTGGTTGTCCGGCTCAATATAAATTTTCTTCAAAATCTCTCCAATTCGGTCGTCTACCCAGTTATCCGGCCAGTTGTCCACCGGTTGACCGACCGGTCATCTACCAATGGCCAACTGCGAGATTTGATGATAGATTAAACGTTCTCTTGATTTAATGAAAAAGTAGAACTCCATTCATTTAATACCAATTTAGTGAAATAGTTGGAACACCATTTTCATCAAATTTAAATTTGATTAAAGAGTTGAGTTTGAGTTGGGGATGGTCTAATGGATGGTTTGGCCTTAGATAATTCAGTTTGAGTTATGATGTTCAAATTTAAATATAAATTTAAGAAAATTTAAAAGACTTGCGAAATTCATAGTTCTGTTTTATTGACTTGAATCGTTTACGTTGTAAAGTTGTGTATTTTACTCCAAAAAAAAAAGAAAAAGATTTAATTGATTGGATAATTATAACATTTTTATTTTATAATGTTTGTATCTTAAAATTGAAGAAGCATGCTTTTCTAAATAGACCATCTATTTTTTTTAAACAAATATGATAAAATGTAAAAATTGCATTTATTAGATTGACATAATTTTTTTTTTATTTTTTTTATAGATGATATATATATATATATATAACCTTACAAAATGTATATATATAAAACCTTACAAAATAAATGATTTTGATCATTGAAATGAATACAACTGTTCAACGCTAAATTTTTAATTTTCATCAAATAATCAGTTGACCAGGAGGATGTCCAAGTGGGTGTCCGGCTTAATGTAAATTTTCTTCAAAATTTATCTAATCCGGTTGTCTACCCTGTTGTCTGGCCGGTCGTCCACCGGTTGACCGGTCGATCATCTATCCGGTCGTCCACCAACGGCCACCTACGAGATTTGATGAAAAGTTAAACGTTCTCTTGATTTGATGAAAAAATTAGGACTCCTTTTATTTTATACCAATTTAGTGAAACTGTTAGATCACCGTTTTCACCAAATTTTCATCAAATTTACATTTGATTAAAGATTTGAGTTTGAGTTGGAGATGGTCTAATGGATGGTTTTGGCGTTAGATAATTCAGTTTGAGTTCTTATGTTCAAATTTAAATATAAATTTAAGAACACTTAACAGACTTGTGAAATTCATAGTTTTGTTTTGTTGATCTGAATAGTTTATTTGGTAAATTTTTTATTTTATTTTACTAAAAAAAAATTAAATTGATCGAATAACTGTAACATTTTTATTTTATAATGTTTGTGTCTAAAAAATGAAGAAGCATTTTTTTTTTAAATAGACCATCTATTTTTGTTTTTTAAACAAATATGATAAAATGTAAAAATTGCGTTTATTAGATTGATATAATTTTTTATTTTTATTTTTATGAATAATATATATGAAAGACTTTACAAAATAAACGACTTAAATGAATAAGCCCTTTTAAATTCTATCAAGTTTAACTATGAATTTTAAAAAACAATTATGCTACATCCACTGAGATTATGCCCACCTGAAATGCTCGAATAAGATGGAAAGTCTTACGCCAATGCTAGTCCCATTTGCCCAAAAAATGTGAGTTTCACAATTATGCTACATCCAGTCCCGAAATCGCATTTGATTGCTCTCTTTTGTCTGGTCTCAAAATCATGAACCTCTCTCGTTCAACAATTTCAATGACAAGTGGGTGGTTCAGAGATTTGATTTTAACACTTGAAATATCCAAAATTTCATAAACCCACCTCACAAAATTCACGCAAAAAACACAAACCTATTAAGAAAAACATCAAGAAACAAAAATTCCGATAAAAAAACAAAGCTTTAGTCTTGGCTTTGTCAATTTCATCATCATCAACTATTGTTTTGGCCATGGTTGTATGTATTGCACATGTACAGGAAAAGAGAGAAGTCTTAAATTGAAGAACAAATGGTTGGTCTCTTTACACCCATTCAATTACCTTTCAAGATAGACAAAATTAGGGATGGTTAGTTTCGAGATCGAGTCAGGATAATCATGGGTTGTAGGGGTTTTTTTTTTTTTTGGGTCTGGCTTCCCTTCAATCCCAGATTAGATTGGAGGATATTGTTGGGCCGTGGAAGCCCATCATGGGTCATTTTTCGATAATTCCAATCATTTAATGTGTATAATTCGTCGAGTACTATATGCTTATAAAAAATTACGTTGATCGGATATCGATAGCTATGTGATTAAATTAGTTTTGTATAACAAAAAATAGATAGTGAAAAAATAAACAATTGACAGAAATCTTATCTGATGAAATAGTTACCTATATCCAATCAACGTAATATTTTACATGTAATGCTCTCAAAATAACCCATTATATATATATCATTGACATGCATTCTTTAAAGAAAACAATTTATTAATACATTCATCAGAGTATTACTAAATAAACGCATTACATGTAACATCGAATAAAATGCCCTACAGGTGTGAGTTTCACAATTATGCTACATCCAGTCCCGAAATCGCATTTGATTGCTCTCTTTTGTCTGGTCTCAAAATCATGAACCTCTCTCGTTCAACAATTTCAATGACAAGTGGGTGGTTCAGAGATTTGATTTTAACACTTGAAATATCCAAAATTTCATAAACCCACCTCACAAAATTCACGCAAAAAACACAAACCTATCAAGAAAAACATCAAGAAACAAAAATTCCGATAAAAAAACAAAGCTTTAGTCTTGGCTTTTGTCAATTTCATCATCATCAACTATTGTTTTGGCCATGGTTGTATGTATTGCACATGTACTGGAAAAGAGAGAAGTCTTAAATTGAAGAACAAATGCTTGATCTCTTTACACCCATTCAATTACCTTTCAAGATAGACAAAATTAGGGATGGTTAGTTTCGAGATCGAGTCAGGATAATCATGGGTTGTAGGGGATTTTTTTTTTTTTGGGTCTGGCTTCCCTTCAATCCCAGATTAGATTGGGGATATTGTTGGGCCGTGAAAGCTCATCATGGGTCTTTTTTCGATAATTCAAATAATTTAATGTGTATAATTCGTCGAATACTGGAGAGAAGCCCGTCCTTTTGTTTTGTTTTGTTTTTTTTTTTTTGTGTTATGAAAGAATGTGTGTGAAAATATGTGGAGTTCGTACCAAAATGGAGGTCTTGTGGATTTTGATCATTAGAGTTTTAAAGAAAGAGAGTGAAAATGGTGCTTTAAACCCACTATTACCCTTTCATTCTTGCTTCTCTCTCTGGCGCGGTGACCCGCGATCTGCAGTTGCGAAAAAAGGGGTTGGACTTGTGACGGTGAGGTTCGTGAAAGGTGGTGGGTGGTTCATGATGGTCGGCAAAGGAGTGGCGGCGAGGGTGTGGAGGTCGGTTCTCTGATCACCCTCTCCCTTCTTTCTTTTCTTCATAGATTCAGATCTGCAAGAGGGGAGAAAAAGACTACATTTGTTTGAGAAACAGAGAGAAGAGAGAGAGAGAGAGAGAGGACTGTCAGTGTAGACAAAGAAAGCAAAGAAATGCGTGTTTTTTTTTTTTTTTTTTGTGAATGCCACGTAATTCAGGCTGGGTTAGACTGAGGATTTTGTATGGGCCAAACATTATTCTTTTAAAAACACCTAACCCATTGAGTTTATTAGGGACAATGAATGCCTAATTTTCTACCCCAGCAATGTGATATTCATATAATTTTTTCTTCTGTGTGTTTCCTAAATATATTTTTGACCGGTAAAAAGGTCATAATCATTTTCTTATAGGTCAAAAAAAAATATTTGGAAGAAAAAAATTGTGTAAATGAATCATTTTTGTTTTCACACAAAATTCTCCGAAATCTCTTATACACCCATGTGAGATAGTCTATAAATTTGTGTAAAAATTGGGTAATTATATCTTTACTCTAATTCTATTCCTAATTATCATTATTTTTTATTCCATGAATAAATTATTTATGTTGTTCGAATCTTAACTTTCAAATAAAAATTAATTGATCGAATTTCAATTTTAAACAAAATTCAATTGTTCAAATAAATTTTTTATTCAATATGACATTCAAACAAATAATTTTCTTTGGAAGTTAATATTATTTTTGGACAATTGATATCGAAATAATACAAACGATGTATACTAAGGTCTCGTTTCAGGATTAAATATTTTAGCAAAAAAGCTAAAAAGTCATTATAAGTTGTCATACCATGCTCTCTACTTTTCTACATATTTTTTTTGTAAAAAATCAAAAATTACTAAAATAACATATTCCCAAAACGAGGCATAATAAGATAAAGTTGGGTTTGGTACTTGAATGCTGATCAAATGTTAGAAAATTTAGAGTTCGCTTTTTTTGTTAAATGACATTTTTGCCCTAACCTTGAGTTTTTTTTTTTTTTTTTTTTTGACATATATGTAATGATAGCCACCAATGAATATGCAAGAAAGGACTTGGACAAGAAAATGCTGACCATAGAAAGGAGTGTTATCTCCAACATCCTTACACACATGGTTGTGAAGAAAAATGGGACAAAGTTTAGAAGCAATACAGTAGTATCTCAAAAGAGAGAATTGGGTGAGAAATCAAGGAACAAACAGGAACCTATTTTTTCATTGAGAGTTTCAAACACAATTCTTGCTCAATCTGTAGTTACAATGCTTGGATTGGGGTTCATCGATGCGGGGTAATCTCCTAGAAATTACTTCTACTAATTTTTTTTTCTTGTGTGTGTGTGATCTAAATAGGTATAGTAGTGTTTAGACTTCTCCAGTATCTACTCTCTCTCTCTCTCTAACTTGCAAAATTTGCACAATTCAATGTGAAGGTATAGTGGAGACTGGTCAAGGATTGGAGTGATTTCAAAGGAGACTGAAGAATTGTTAAAGCTTGCAGCATTTGTTGTAGTCCCTTTGTGCCTCTTTCTCATATTTTCTTTCTCTAAGAAACAAGAGGCTTGAAATTTCGAACATGATTGTACCATTTTCTAGGCAAAAAGAAGAAGAATTTTGTGGTGGTTTATTTTTTCTATTTTTCCTTGTCCTTTCACTCAGCAAGAGCCATGACATGCCCTATAAAAAAAGGATAATATTTTTGTTAGTTTGCATCAAAATGCAGCCTTTTACCATTAAACAAAAAAATGCAACTTCCGTTCAATGGCCGGGGATACCTTTGTATTGTTTTGTCTCTTGTTTTTATTAGCAAAATAGAAGAGTTCTATCACATAATGTGGAAATAGAACCAATAATTATGGGATTATTTACACCATGACCTCCTAAATTATTGCAAAAATATTATTTTGACCTCCTAAGTTATAAAAGCGTGTAAATGGATTTCCTAGACTAATGTGAAGTATCACTTGGTCCCTGAAATTATAAAAACGTGCAAATAAACTCCCTAAACTATTGGCGTCCCTTTCGTTAGGGGTCTAATTTGTACAGTTTTATAGACTATGGGCGTGTTTCAATCTGAGCCCTTCTATTCGGGGTCCAATCTGTACGGTTTTTATAATTTAAGAAGTTCATTTATACGCCTTTATAATTAATGGGACAAAGTGACATTTCACAATAATTTAAGGGTTCATTTGTAAACTTTTATAATTTAAAAATCAAAATGATATTTTTTTTAATAATCTAAAAGTCCTCCATATAAATAGCCATACCTACATTATATTAGAATCACTAGTGGACAAGTTAGGAGGTATACATTACAATCACAAGTGTAAGTGGGTATTAGTTGGAAAAATTCTATGACACATGTCTAGTTATGATTTTTTTTAGTTTTTGATTATTATTGGTTCTGGTATTAGTTGACTATGACTAATTGTAATGTAAATTATAATTTGATTATAATCACTTCTTGTTTTATTTTAGTTATGTCTGAAGAGGTATTTGATTATGCCTCAATTAGTCTTTGGTTATGACCCTTAGTTATGTTGTAAAGTTGGTTATACTATAACAAATAAGAGTTTTAAAGATCAGTTTTTTGTTTCAAAATATAAAAATTTTATTGCAAAAAATATTTAAGGACCAATTTGTGTCACGAGAATAATTGCGAAAAGGTTAATTTGAAAAAAAAAAAAAGAAGTTTTAGAAATAAAATTTTAAAATTGTTGCTGATAGATGCATTTTTAGGGACAATCATTTTTTTAGATAAAATTCAGGTCCCAAAAAAAATAATAATTTATCACTAAATGTCCAATTTTGTCTCTAAAAATACAATAATGCTATTTTTGACCCAAAAAAAAAATATTACGTATCTAAAAAGTGATTTTATCCCTAAATTTTTGTTTTTAAAACCTTCATTTGTTGTAGTGTTATAACTTATTATAATTATTATTTTGGTTATGATCGAAAAAGTCTTAATCATGTCATAAGTGATATTTGATCATGATCCATTATATTATTTTTAATTTTGAGTATAAAAGTAATTTAGTTATAATATTTATGATATAGATGACATAACTTGCCTATGTGTGCTGTAAAACAACCTAATATTATTATTTTATTTAGACACATCAAATTTATATAATTTATTTTTCTTTCTAAAGTCAAGCATCGACGGGGAGTAGAGTCACCAAGTCAAACCTATTAGGCTCCTCATCATTGATCATTTTAATTTTGTTGAGTCGGTTACAGGCACTTCCGAAAGAGACTTGAAATAGAACAATTAAAATATTGAGATTTAAAATGTAACGTAATGTATGCTTTAAGGACCATCAGCGTAATTACTCTTTAAAAAAAAATTACAATTTATCTCAATACATTGACGTAGTTTGAATCAACAATTATAGCATAGATAACTACAAATAAACTCCCGAAGAAGGAGAGAGATATTCCAAATAATTGCAAGGGTAATACAACCCTTATGCAGGTGAAAAGAGTCGAACTCTTAACCTCTTAGTACACTTTAAGAGCTCTAGCCAATGGATTAATTCTTTTAAATGCTAATAGAAGGACAAATGTTGCCAAATTAAGGAAGATAGGTATACGTAGCTACTGTGTATGAAGCACAACAGTCACTGTTGTACAGCTAACTGGGCTCACTTCGGGCCTTATTTTGATAATCTGAATCATTCAATTTTTAGAGATATTGAGTAAAATATACTCGGAAAAAAATTAAATTAATCGGATATTGGTAGCCCTTTCATCTAAGTACATTTGTATTCTATTTTATACACAAAATCACATTAACCATTCATTTTTTTTTAATACAAATGTAAATAGATGAAAAAGTTATCGATATCCGATCAATTTGATTTTTTTACAGATATATTTTTGAGAGGGCAATTTTTGTGAAAATTGGGCCGAGCTATGAGATGGTCATTATGGCCCAAAGTACGAAGGGCTGGGTAAAAAGGCTGTAAAGTTACTCCGGCCCAAGATGAATGTAAAGTTACTCCGGTCCGGAAGCGACTTGGAGTTAGGCCGGTCTCAGAATTAGTCCGATCATGGCGTAATGTGGTTAGAACGGTCAGAACCTTGCTACTCTTTAGCTCGGTCTAAACATACCATGGTTTGTGCACGAGAGCACCGAGATAAGGAGGAGTAAAAGGAAGAACCGAACTAAGGATAGTACGGCTTACTCTGTGGCTCAGCATAGCCATGATTACTTCGGTCATGTGGAAGTCCGGTCATGGTAATAACCATCTCACTTGGTTTAAGCAGTGAGGGGGTGTTGGAGGATAAACATTATCTTTCAGGAGTATGAATCCTAGGAGGACTCTGCATGGAGGAATAGAAGTCCTACTAGGATTGTGCCACACGAAACCTATAAAAGCTCACAAACATCACCTTTGGAGAGGTAACACACAACTTTGCTTTCTGAATACACAGAGTTTTTGTCTATTTGTCAAGCTTACTGACTTAGGCATCGGAGAGGTTTCCGGCACACACCCGCCGGCTAGCTCACGTTTGTGTTTTCAGGTGATAAAGCGACGACGTACGGAGGAGAGTGGACTTGGTCAACAGGATTATACGAGAAAGTTTATTTCTTTCCCGTACAATTGGCGCCGTCTGTGGGAAAAACAGACAGGACAAAACCTCTTGATCAAACTTTGCCTCTTGAAGAACAATGGCGCACAATGAAGAATTACCACAGTCCGCCATCGACGGGCAAACACCAGATGGGGGGGCCAGGCGTGAAGGACTACCTTCTACCCTCCCATGGCAGATTTGGAGCCCCAACGACATAACACCAGGAGGGATACTAGGGGAAGACGGACACACAGCCCCCGTCGCTCTCGTTCACAAAGTCCTGACAGGCAAAGACGGAGGATTGATTCTCAAGCTCTGGAGGACCGCGTGAAGGAGCAAGACGAATTAATAAGGAAGATGGCGGCCGACATGGAAGCCTTGAAGCGCCAGATAAATAAAAAAGAAATGGCGACAGGAGAGGGGCGCAAAAACAAGACGCCCCCTCGCCACTCAGAAAATCGTAGTAGGAATACCACACCCTCGCAAGGAGAGAGTAAAAGCCTCAGGACAGGCGATACTCAATCATGGTCTTCCAGAACTCGTTACTCCAGGTCTAAGAGAACGAGATCATTGAGGTCTTACACTGAGGGAAGTACCGTTGTATGAACCCACTAATACTGGTGGTTAGATTGCCAACCTGATCACTATGGGTGCATAGACAGCCAATAGTTTTTTACCCCAAGAT